ATATATATAGATATATATATTTTTTTTTTCCCTTTCTCTAGATTTGGGAAACACTTTCCTGTTAATGTTTAAGGTTAGAAAAACTAATTTCCCAATGTGTGATGTTTATTTTGTGTAAAGCTTCAGAGCCATTCCTACCAGGAGTGATGCAGTTGGAGTCGAAGCGAGCCTCTGTGGGAAGCACCTCTCCTTTATCCACAGCTTTCTTTATCTTGTCCTCTGCTTCTTTGGCCGACCTAGACACACAGACACAGGAGAGAGCAGGTCAAACTCAGTCTGTAGTCGGGTTTCTTACATCTTTACCAAAGCAAATGTTGCAATTTCAGTCCTGCAGGAGGCTCATTGCGCCTCGTTAGGCTGTACCACAAAGCTCTCAGAATTATACGAAATGCATTTGTAAATAGAGATGTCATCTTGTTTAGATAACTAAAAGAGAGAATGTTCCATTTTGAACACTTGAGAGTCAACATCATGGCGCAGACATGTTCATAAAAATTCAGTTTCTTCATTTGGTCATTGTAAGAAAAGAAAAGCTACTGCAACGACCTACATTTAACAATCATGTTCAACCGTCTTTGGGATTGAGAGGAGGAGGATTTCCGGGTGAGAGGGCTGCAAGTTTATATATTTAAATATAGTACAAAAAGCATTTCAAAATAATGTAATAGTAAGATGAGGTGATCCTGTGTTTATAACAGGAACCCGCGTTAAACCTTTCAAAACAAAAGCCAGACCGGCACAACACTAAATTCAGGTCTGGAACAAGGTCAGGTGACCCGTGTTGACCCACTCTGGGTATCAGCATACACACGATCAGAGGAGAGAACTTCTCAGTGTGTGTGTCTTTCTTAAATCCCGCTCTACCTGAATCTCCGTCCTCTCTGCTGGTTCATCTTTGCTCTCGGTGCCACGCCGTCCACCGCCATGAAGAAGACCTTGCGGGGCTTGATGATCCTGAAAAGCACCTCCAGGTAATGGAAGATGTCCGCGAAGATTTTCTCCTCGGAAATGCGAAAGTGGACGTCCTCGTCGTTCGGGTGGGAACACTGGTGGATAATCCCGTTCATGTCCAGATAGAGATTGTCAAACTCTGGAATCTGAAGAGGGGAAAAAACAAAAGAAAACTGAAATGACGATGTACAATACATTGTAAAAAAAAGAAAACGTATTCCTGTTAAGTGACCAATTTGTAAAATCTGTTACTCGGCTGCCGGGAATAAATCTCTCCGCAGCAAACATATTTGCAGTTCGTTTTGTTGAACATAAGTAGGTTGGGATCCTTTACATGGAAACTATTGGGAGCCATAAGTGAATGGGTCAACTCATCCTCCAGCCTGATGCAGACAAGTGACATTCAGACCTAAGTTGACATCTAGCTCAAGTAACAGAGGATCACCAAGTGACATTTAAGTTGTTGAGACTGTTACTGTGTGGTGACCTTGAGTATCAGAGAAAGGAATACGACATATTTCAAACATCCATCATCATCCAATACAAAGCTGCGTTCTTAACACGTTCTTTGTATTGTCTTAAAAGGTGTCAGAGCTGGCTTATGCAATGAGAGGGACACCGAGCAGCGTCCAGCTGATGAAACTGCTGCTCAACCACTGAAATATTACCCGCCTTACTACACAGGGAACTAGGTCACTAAGGTTAACCCAGTGCCGCTAAAGTAGCCTAAATAACGTAATGTATGTTTAACTAACTTCCCCCTTTAGTATTAACTGGTGTAGATAATGGCCGACCGCAGAATTACTGCATTTTAAACAACCATTTACATTGTAAAGTAGGTTGGCTGTAAACTAGATGGGAACTAGCGTTAGCTTCAGCTTCTACACTCTAACGTTTGTTAGCTTAGCAGACTGTGAGGAGTTTATTGTTTTTCAGAATGTTCTAGACCGACGAATACATAACCCGCCCACTGGTATCATGTTTATTTTCATTCACGTTGACCTGTGTGACGTTACACGTAGACGAAAACAAACTAGTACGCGAGTTAGTGCTGGAATTCAGTAAATAACGCTACGTCTTACTGTATTGTGTGTAATTAAATAATGTAGTCAGAAGCGCAACGCAAGAGCTCTGTCCTGTCGCCAAGCAAAAACATTGGTAAGCTAACTTACGTGGAATAGAAATTCCATGGCCCGCGAACATTACACTTAGCTCGCTGATAGCCAACAGCTAGCTAAGCTAACGCTGCGGCTATCAGCAACAGAGGCTTGTGAAGCTAACAATATTCCTCACTGGTTTCCTACCTGATGTTCCTTGACAACTTCACTGAGACAAGGATAGCGCTCCGAAATCCATCGGTAAAATTTCGGTACTCCCATCTTCACCACGGAAGTCTCAACCTCTGGATGAAATCAGTAAACAGTCAAATCTGAAAGAATGTAACTAAACACGGCCAAGGATTCACTGGGTAACATGAGAACTTGCTATGAGTGGAGTCCGGTTTTGTTTCCAGCGGCCGCTAACTAGCTAGTTCTCCGTGGTCCGTCTCCTAAACCCTTCCGCCGGCGCCGCTACTGTGAAAACACTCGTTCCATTTTTTTTGTTTCCATTTCTCCCTCACCGCAGTTTCTATGGAAACCCATTTGTGCCAGAAATCAATCAAGGATGAAGAAATAAAAATAAAGAAGTAAATAAATAAAAAAGTAAAAAACAGAACAGAAAACCACGAGATACTAAGCCAACAATATTTACATTTTTCAGAAGTCATAATCGTGGCATTGCTTTTACTCATACCTGTCTTAAATATAGTAAACACTTCAACATCATTTGACTCGATACATTTGTATTAATTGTTAAATTAAGAGTTGTAATCTCATTGTTAAAATATCACTTGGTATAACATAATTTTGATTTCCTAAGATAAAATGTTAAAGTAGCATGTGGCTGCGTCAACACACAAAGGCCAACCAAGAGGCCATTTTGTTCTGGGTATCAGTGATCAAAAAGTGTGCATTTTCAAGACACTTAAAATAGTCCACCAGTGTCAGTTTCCCACAGCTGTCACTAGATGTTATTGGAGAGTCATATTTTAATGATATAGCCTTACCAACCACTGTGAACCATGCACCCTACCTTCCTGTGTTAAGAGGCTGTAGTGGTTCACCATGTACGAGGTGACATACATTAGAATTATTGCTGCAGTAGTGTCAGATATGACCATGTAAACGGTTTCACCAAATCAATGTATTTCTGGCATTGTTAGATAGATAGATAAATACTTTATAAATCCCACAAGGGGAAATGTTACAGGCTGCATTATTGAGAAACACTTGACACTGAAACCGGAAGCTGTTCCATGTTTTGATGCTGAGCTTCCAGTTTCTTTTATTCAACTGTTGCTCAGAGGGATTTCGTTGTCTCTTTCTGCCCTCTCAGTTATCAGTCCGGTTGAGTCTTTGTGCAGCATTTTGTTCTCCATGTACAAAACAAAACATCTATTTGTAAAAAGGACTTTCTACAACCTAAAACCATGAAAGACCATTCATAAATATAGAGTGGTCCTCTCAGTTATGAGTCAAGCTGTTACGGCTCAGGATGCCAAGCCTTTGAACGGTGGTGTTAAACTAGTATATTTTATTATACTATTAAACTTTCGTTATAGTTCTGCGGCAAAATATTCACACGACTCAATTGTAGACGGACATGCTCTTAATGACTACCTTTAATTATTAGAAGTGAGAAATAAGATGTTACCAACAGTATAAGGAAAATATGAAACTGAACAATCTTGAGGCCTTTATTTATGAACAAATCGATGAACCATTAGGTAACAAACAAAACACTTCTTGTGAAATGATTGTAAATGTTTTAAAAGGCAAATACAGGTCTGCAAACAAATGTCAAAACTCCCTGGAAATGACATCCTTGATTGTGGGACATTTTAAAAATTGTGGCAGTATCACATTCATTTTTTAGAACTTTCAGTTCCATGTCTCCCATAAAGTTTAGTCTTTGTGGTGAGCTTACCATGATATTACAAACGACAGCGGGACATTTCCTGAGTGAAAGAGCCACAACAGAAAAGATGTTGCAACAATAATGACATCCGCAGAGTAAACATTTATTGGCTCTTTCAGCTTTTACATGTTTAAAGGATTATATTTCACACAAGGTGTAAACACCCACGATAAACACACGGCTCAGTCACACATGGGCGGTTAAGAGAATGTTTGAAAAGCCAAAAATATATATATAAAAAAAAAAAAAAGACCAAAAGGGACCAAATTGTTTTGAAATAATTTATTCAGTTATACAAATACAAAACACCTCTCTCACTCAGTTATCATAAAATAGGTAGGTCTTGGCGGTGTTTACCAAAATCCTCTCCGTGACGATGTTGTGCACAGCTGTGTTAACCTCCAGTATGTGAACACTAATTCCTTTGATACTTTAAAGAAAACTACATGTTGATTCTGTGATTTTTCAACAAGCAGCTCGTGTAAGTGGAGAAATAATCCAGTTAGATGTAGCATTGCAGACCAATGCCTTAAGCTACATGAGAATGGCTGCCCATGACCTCTGTACACTACCCGACCGTCTACACTCTTCAGCTACAAAAGGAACCGACGGTACACTTGACAGAATGAAATTCAAGTCTTATTTATTAAAACTGGTTTCTCCCAATCTGAAGAACACCAAAAGAACTAAAAGTAAAGAGGGAAAACAGTTGGTTGACAAACAATGTATGTAGGGGTGGGGGGGGGGTAAAATACATGATTTCTGCATGTGATTTTGTCTTGTGCTTTGGCCTTTAAAAAGGAAAACAATGCATCACACTGGTAGCATTCGGATGGATGTACCCTCGAGAGCAACAGCTTAATAATAATAAAATAAAAAACGGGTACAAGTTTTGATTTGACCTAAAATCATAAAGAGGTGTTTCTATTGTAGCTGATATCATTTTACCGTAAAAGAAACAAAAAAAGAAGCTTGCTAAAGTCTCTTGTTCCATTGTGTGCCCAAGCTAGGTCCTGGTTTCTTTTGCTGTAAAATGCCAGCACGTCTCCTCCGGCTGTACAGACGTCCTGGTCCAAAGTCTTTTCTGCTGCAGCTCATTAAAAAGAAGACGGGGGTTCGGTTCCTTTCTCTGTCGCTGTTGTCGGTATCCTGGTTCAGCGGGCGGCCTGGGCTCCTCCCTGCATCAGACTGATCCTCTATCAAACACAGAGGAGCTGATGGACGTTCTATCTCACACACTGAAGACGTGGCCTTCAGACGAGCTCAAGAACCTGTACGGAGAGAAGAGATGGACCAGTTATGTCACTGGAAACAAAGGGTTAAAACAGTAAGATCAGCGCAGTCACTGCTTTAACAATAAAAGTGACCCATGGTGGGAACTTCATAGATAGGGTGAAGACACAGCTGTATACTACATAGAGCCTAAAGCATCCCCTGCTTTATGGTCTATTTGACTCTAAATGGTCCATAATGTACTAAATGAACATCATGCTGTATTGAAGAAGACTTGAAACTAGAGATTGAGACCATAAACTCATGTTTACAATGTTTACTGAGGTAATAAATCAAGAGAGAAGTAGAGTCATTTTCTCATAGACTTCTAAACAACCAGAGGAGTCGCCCCCTGGTGGTCACTAGAGAGAATGCAGGTTGTGCATCAGTTTCATTTAGTCAGAACTGGAGGTTGCTGCCTGGTGACCATCTCCACAGACAGACGGACAGACTCCCGCCTCCTTCATGTCCCAACACTTGCTCCCCCGTAAAGCACATTTTTTGAGACTTTGGAGGCAGAGATGCAATAGACAGTGGTTGATGTCTTCACTCTTTTGATTGGTCACTTTAAAAAAAACAAACCACGACCTTTGATTGGAGGTTAGGTTTGACTGCTGACAGGCAAAGGAAGGCAGTGGTCTGAGAGAACAACCAGTTTCTTATGGGGCCTTCATGTCGGAGCAAGTAGGCCTTACACAAAGTTAACATATTTCTATATTTTATTTGTAATATTCTTTGAGGGTATTGATTTTGTTTACTGTATGCGCTAGGGAAACAAGGTTTGCCATATGCTTCCCGTGACTTCAGTTATAAAAGTCCATTAGGTCAACGTATGTCCTCTATGTTTAGCTGTGACATCGTCAGAGGACAGTGAAGAGGATTCACACACCTGCATTCTATATACATATACATTTTTAAGAAAGAAATTCATAAACAGTCATCGGCATCTCAGAAACAAACAAACAAGAAAGGAGCCGTGAGTGTTGAAAGTGACCAATCAAAGGAGAGGAGACATCTGCATCCTCCGAGGTCTCACACGTGAGCGCGTAGCCAGGGTGAAGATCACACTGGTCCCACTAGTGCAGGCGGAGCTTCTGCTGTACGGGCCACCGGATGCTTTCTACTCGCTCATGTCTCGTGCACACGCCTGGTTTTATGTGCGCAGGTTATGAGACTAATTAAACGGCATACTGGACATGTAACCGCAACACGCCACTCCACCCATCCCCAGTGGTATCGAGCCATGGGGATACTGTTACTGTGATGTCGTGAGCTTTTGAGATTTCTGTCAATGGGACTTTGAACAAGCTTTTTGTGTACTTGAAGCATTTGGAAACGATTTTCTCTCTCTCTCTCTCTCTCTCTCTCTCTCTCTCTCTCTCTCTCTCT